GCGCACAGCATGGGACTGGAGGGCAGCTCTGCCTGCAGCCCCGGTGTCGGATCCACTAGGTGAAGGCAGCTGGGCTCCTGAGTCTATTGGGACTTGGAGAACCTTTATGTCTAGCTAAGGGACCGACACCAATCAGCACCCTGTGTCTAGCTCAAGGTTTGTAAATACACCAGGATAATGCCACTGCACCCTGACAGAGCGAGACTTTGTCCTCCCCCCTCAATAAAAAAAGCCGGGCATAGTGGTGGCACCTGTAAGTGTAGCTACTCGGGAGGCTGAGGCAGGAGAATGGTTTGAACCTGGGAGGTGGAGGTTGCAGTGAGCCAAGATCACGCCATTGCACTCCAGTCTGGGCGACAAGGGCAAAACTCCTTCTCAAAAAAAAAAAAAAAAAAAAGGCACCAGTGCTGTAAATCATGAATCATTTCATTTGTTAGCATGGCTAGCACTATTGGGCCTGGTGGCTGTGATGATGGAGCCTCTCCCTGGGAGAGGTGACCTGAGGCCTACCTTGGTATTCAGTGTGTATCACCAAGCAGGGGGCTCATCCAGCTGCTTGCTCAGTAACTACTTATTTCCATTCTGATGGAAACTAAGTTACAGTACTTTGGCTACAGTAAGATTTGATGCATTGAGTCACTTTGCATTTTAAAATTGAACTGTAACTCTTTATGCCCTCAGTTTAGAAATAATTCTCAGTGCATCATTAACCCTGACTTCTTTGAGTGCTTCACATTATACCATGGCAGCATTTTACAAATACTTCCTAACTTTGTAAGCACTGCTTGCTAAGATCAAGTGGGAATTTTACAGGCAAACTCTGGGTCAGAGTCCAGAGTGAATCGAGGTCCTTCGCAGGCCAAGCCCCGAGAGACATGGAGGCCAGCCAGAGTGGTCAGGACAGCCGAGGAGGATGAAGGATGGGGGACCTGATCTAGACCTCCATGTGGTAGCTCCAGCAGGGTGGTTGGAGCAGCCCGGGAGGACAAAGGGACTGTCTGGTACTCTGCAAAGGCAGACACTGGAGGACACAGCACATTATCTCCAAATTATTCTTCAGAGCTAAGTGCAGGGATCAGGACAGAGGCAACCAGGAGGCCTTGGCAGGGCTGGAGGTGGATCTCAGGGAGAATCTAGAAGCTCAGCTGGCTGAGAAACCAATCAGGCAGGCAGAAGCTGGGAGTGGGTCCCTTGGGAGCAGGCACGAGAGCCCCAGGGGAGATGTTGTCATGCGAGGACTTGGTCATTGCCACAGCTCACTTCTGTCCTATTTGATGCCTGCACAGTAGGTTTGGAGCCTGCTTCTGAAGTGTAATCAAATAGCACCTCTTCATGTGGTTGAAGGGGGTTGGGGGCATGGGGAAAAAAGGAGGCCAGTTTTTTCTCTGCTAAACCAGGAAAGGAAGAGGAAACATCTAGAATTGGAACCAGATTGGAAGCTCAATCTTTTCTCTTTGTCTTAAACGTGTCTTAAACATTTTTGTAATGAAGTGGGGGCATAAATAAATACCTCTAAATGAAGTTAGAGTGCATCTGAGATAATGGTGATGGTGATTCATAAAAGATAAATATAATGTCACAAATTATGACAGTTACTACCATGTACAGATGTCCAGGTACAGGGCTACACATTTTAATAATACTGTCATAGAATCTTCCAATGAGATCGCACCTGAAATATTCATATTTCACAGATGAGGAAACAGCAATAAAAAGGCGCCCAAGGCAACAGGGCTAGTCAATGCCAGAGCCAGAATTGTCACCAAGGTCTTCTGATTTCTATTCAGATTCATTCGTAGCCTACACTGCTGCCCTGCTGGCCTCTGGGCCTTTACCCTCACTGTGACTCAGCTTCTTTGGGACAGTGTTTCAGAAGTGGAGTGAGGGGCTGTGGACGGTGTGCAGTGCTCCCTGAACAATCTATGGACCTTGTATTAGTCTATTCTCATGCTAAGAAAGCCATACCTGTAATTTATAAAGAAAAGAGGTTTAGTAGACTCCCAGTTCTGTATGGCTGGGGAAGCCTCAGGAAACTTACAATCATGGTGGCAGGCACCTCTTCACAGGGCTGCAGAAGAGAGAATAAGTGCCAGCAGGGGAAATGCCAGACACTTATAAAACCATCAGATCTCGTGAGAACTCACTATCATGAGAACAGCATGGGGGAAACTGCCCCCATGATCTAATCACCTCCCACGAGGTCCCCCCTCCAACACATGGGGATTACAATTCGGATTGTAATTCAAGATGAGATTCAGGTGGGGACACAGAACCAGACCATATCAGACCACATCCACTTCATCCTCATCATGCTGGCCCCACAGCCCCAGCAGTTTGGCATGCTGGTCTCATCTCCAAACTGTTTGTAACCATAGGGCATAAAATGTACTTTTTTTATTTTTATGCAAGAAAGTATAAGATTAAAAATGTCCATGCAAATAAGACAATGAAAGGCATTTGGATGCCTTTAACCTAAGAGGTAGGCAGCACCTCTGGCTTCTCAGAGCTCAGGGAACACTGGCACCATCTCATACTGTTTTCAGTGATTTTCCTGTGTTGCTGCTGTGTGTCTACCTGGTGCTTTGCTACATTTGAGAGCAATTGTGTCATTGCCTTTTGCCAAAAGCATCAACTGCATTAAATGTATCTTGGGAGTGGTGGTGCTAGCCAGAGTTTGAAAGGGGTCTGACTCCTGGCATACTCATTAGCCAAAGTCAGAGATTCCACCCCAGACATCTTGAAGGGGCTTGTTTTGCTTTTGCCAATATAATAACTCAATGTTTTCAGATTCTTATTGTTCTTCAGGTTTTAAAATTAGTCAGTATTGGCTGGGTGCTATGCTCACGCCTGTAATCCTAACACTTTGGTAGACCCAGGTGGGAAATTCACTTTAGGCCAGGAGTTTGAGACAAGCCTGAACAACATAGCAAGAACCCATCTCTACAAATTTTTAAAAAATCAGTTGGGCATGTTGGCACGTGCCTGTAGTCTGAGCTACTCAGGAGGCTGAAGCAAGAGGATTGCCTGTGCTCAGAAGTTTAAGGCTGCAGTGAGCTACGATGGTGCCACTGCACTCCAGCCTGGGGAACAGAGTGAGATCTTATCTCTGAAAAAATTATATAAATAAATAAATAAAATTAGTCAGAATATTCTGCTCAATGTTAAAATTAGAGAGGTGGAGTGTGGTCAATGATGTCTGGTCTCAATTCATTGGGTGTGGGATTTTGGTTCTTTTCCCAGTTTGTCCACCCTGAGGGGGACATATTTTTCCCCCGGCCCCAGTCACTATTAAGAACAACTGCTTTTTTTTTTGTCTTTCCTAAAATGCAGTCTCTTTTCTCTTTATTTCTTCAGTTTTAACTATTTTTTTTCCTTTTCAGTTGCTTTCAGTGAATTTTAGCTGAGTCACCACAGATCATACTGATTTTTAAAATATGTTTTGTGACTGATTATAACATAGTATGCTCTTTTGAACCTATTGCCTTACCACTGTTTATTTCATTTCTTTTTCTTTCTCTTTTTTTTTAAAATTATACTTTAAGTTCTAGGGTACATGCACACAACGTGCAAGTTTTTTACATATGTATACTTGTGCCATGTTGATGTGCTGCACCCATCAACTCGTCAGCACCCATCAACTCATCATTTACATCAGGTATAACTCCCAATGCCATCCCTCCCCCTCCCCACTCCCCATAATAGGCCCTGGTGTATGATGTTCCCCTTCCAGAGTCCAAGTAATCTCATTGAAGAACAACTACTTAAGAGAAATGTGAAAACTAAGGGAATAATTCAATTACTGTTAAACAGAAAAAGACAAAATGTCATTGTTAGTAGCAAGGAAACTACAAAAGGAGAATTTACACAGACCTGTTTTTTAGATCACAAAGTGAAGACAGGAAAAGGAGAATTTTATGGAACATTTTGCTTAACATAAGGTAATCTTTAAAAAGAGTGCTTTATATAAGGTAATATTTATGGTGCCACTTCCCACAGTCTCTCCCCTTCCATTAAGAAAAAATAAAAATAAACCAAAACCCTGAAAGACACTTTAGTACACACACAACTAGATCAGGGATCAAGAAACTAGAACTATCCTTCATATAGTTTTTCATTAAGGAAGTTGCATTTTGACAAAATGTAGCATACCGAATCCTTTTGCTCTTCATTTTTTTCTTACCTAAAAAAATTTAGGGTCAGGCATGGTGGTTCATACCTGGAATCCCAGCAGTTCGGGAGGCCGAGGTGGGTGGATCACTTGAGGTCAGGAGTTTGAGACCAGCCTGACCAACATGGTGAAACCCCGTCTCTACTAAAAGTACAAAAATTAGCCAGACATGGTGGTGCACATCTGTAATCCCAGCTATCGGAAGCCAGAAAAATTGCTTGGACCCAGGAGGTGGAGGTTGGAGTGAGCTGAGACCAACACTATACTCCAGCCTGGGTGACAGAGCAAGACTCTATCTCAAAAAAAAAAAAAAAAAAAAAAAAAATTTTTACATTTATTTAGAGATGGGGTCTTGCCATGTTGCCCAGGTTGGTCTGAAACTCCTGAGTTCAAGCAATCTGCCTGCTTTGGCCTCCCAAAGTGCTGGGTGGGAGCCACTGTGTGAACCACTGCACCTGGCCTGCTCTGGATTATTTTAATGAACACACAGATGCTTGCAGAGTGGGCATAGCAGAGTGTTTACTAAATACACTCTGAAGTCTTTCATTTAAAATCTCCAGAAGTTCTAGCAGCTTGAGTGTAGCATTTATGTCAAATCTAAGTAGTGCTGACTACCCCTGCACTTTCTGCCCTTCAAAAAATAGCTGCTTACCTGTAACTTTTGCATTTTCAAGTGCTAATTTTATTCTTTTCCCTGAAGGTCATATATAGTAAAACAGCAATACCTTTCTATCTACTGGATGGTGAATCAACTGTTTTAGATCAGTACTGTCCAACAGAAATATAATACACATCAGGTATCATTTAAAAATGTATTTCATTTAACTCAATATATTCAAAACATTTAATTTGTAATTAATATAAAATTGAGATAGTTTACACTCCTGATGTTTTTCACCCTTCAGCACATGTCAACTTGGTCTAGCCACATTTTGGGTGCTCAGTAGCACATGTGAATAGTGGCTACCCCATTGGACTGCAGTTTTAGATTCTGATTCCCATAGTTCCACGTATTTCTCACTGAGAGGCCTATAAATTATACAGTGTCCTCTATTCTGCCTTAAAGAGTGGCAGTAACAGGGCAGGGCACTTGTCCAGCTGCAAAAATCAATGGTATGAGACTCCATTCCATCAGCTACAACATTCGACTCTGTTCCCGGAAACATACATCAAACTGATTTGACCGGATTTTGTCTTTGTCTTTGAAACAGATTGGTGTGGAGCTGTCCTGGAGATGCAGATATCAACAGAGGATGATTCCGAGACAAGTGGCTCCTTGCAGTGCAGATAAACTCCATTAGGGGGTCTTCTAGTCATGGTGGCATAATCCTGGATTGTGATTAATGACAATTTTATAACAAAATATTGCCATCAGAACTTTCCAGTTTATGAATACAAGGTAAATTTTGGAAAGACAATCTTTTCTACTACAAAATAAAAGTAAGCCTTTCAAACACATCTCTGGCTATCTGTTCACAGAATCTGATCTGTGAACTCACCTCCCTGCTCCAGAGGCAGTCTCCACTTTCGCTAGATCCCCATTTAGTTATGCAGACATGTTCTGTGTTCCATTCCTTCCTTCAGAGTGGAGTATTTGAGATCATGAAGGAAAGAAAGCTGCCTCCTCGGCTTTAAGGAGCTTGGAATGCACATGACCCCTCCCCTCCTCCATTAGAAAATAATGGCAATTGCCTGATTACTAACTTGCCAGTTCTGGCTCTTTGCTCTTAGGAAGCTCAGTCAACTTGGCTGCAGACTACAGCATGAGATCTAACGGCTTAGTTTTTTATTCTTGCCCTCTACTTGCTGAGCTTTTATCTGCTTCTAATTATTGTTGCTGATATTTGTTATAAACCACCCTAAATTATTTTGGGAATGTTGGGGGGGGGGGCGCTAGATTTTTCAGCTTGCCCTAATAATTTAATCTTTCAGATATTGACCCAGACACAAAATGAAATGATTCCTTACAACAGCAGAAGTCAACCAAGGAACATTCTATTAAAACTGGCTCTGACTTACATACTGAAATGAGTCACAGTGTGAAAGCTCCAGAAAGGTAAGAACTGTCTGTATCATGGGACTTGACACAACAAAACAGCAAATATTTGCCAAATTACAATTAAACATCTAAGGCTTAAGGACCTTCAAAAAGACATATATTTTAGTCTGGAATATTCACTTGAACTACAAAGATTTGGTTACTTTTAGGAAACAATCTATTTGTATTCAAGTGCTTAGGAACACCACAGAGTAAGACAAAATGGGATATGGCCATTTTCGAAATCAAATTGTGACTCAATCTACATGAACTGACATGTCAATGCCACAATTGTTACACTGGGTTTTACGTCACTATCCGGGGAGGTTTGGTGACCAGTTCTTAAATAAGACTTTCTATTTTCAGTGAAATAACCATTAGCATAAAAATCACATGTCCAAGTTCCTCACTTGGAAGCCCTCTTTGAAAACATTTCATTCAACTCCAGGTTTGCTTCTCTTCATGGCACTTGAGCACAAAAGAATGGTAGTTTAATAGTCCATTCCTGCTTTTAGCTCTGCTAAACACGTAGACACGCAATGTACTAAGGCAGGCACTACAGAACTGTGGTACGACTGCAACCACTCATCCCATTTTCCTGGGTGATGCTATGTTTAACCGAGGTTCTATATTGGACAACTCTACACTGCTAGGGTATAGGGTAAGGGGATTTGGTAGTGGGGGAGTGGCAGGGAAGGTATCAAACCTAGAATCATAAGGGACGTCTGAAGAACTTTGCTCATATGGGCAAGATGGCACAACTCTGTTCATGTCAGAAAATGCTCTTGGTCACCAGGGCAGGGCTCAACAGGCCCTGTGGTTAGACCTACCAAATAGAGAAAAGAACAATGTCTCACAAGCTATACTTGAATCTATCCCTTTTAAGAAGCACCCTTGATTACTCCAAGGGAATGAGGACAAGGAATGCAGACTGGCTCTTTTTAGCCAGCTTTTCAGTCAACCATGTGGCTTATGCTGCATCAACCCGTTTCAACCCAAGACCAATACTCAGCCTCCTTTCATTTCTCAAATTTCTTGGTTAGCCAGTATTTGCTAAGGACATCTTAAGCTTTCTTGAAATGGAAAAGTCAATATGGAAAGCAATGCTGCAGGGAAGCCACAGTAGTATTTGGAGTGGCACATGGCAACAGATTTTCCATATCCCACTTTCTGCTATCTCATGCCCACTACAATGGACACATCACAGGTGAGATTTAAAATGCTGCTGTGAAGTGGTTACATCAGTGTTGTTGCTATCCAGAAGGGAAACTTGCAGCACTGATGAGCGTGCCAATACACAACTGCCGTCTGGTCCTGCTCCTCAGGTATTGTGTGGATGAGTCACTTCTGTGACTTATGTCCCAAGAGTGATTTTGATGTATTTTTGCTCTTCCAACTTGGCAGTTCATGTAAATAGTGACCCCAAACCATCTTGCCATAGATTTCACTGGAAGCACCATTGAAATGCCAAGGAGGGCTAAAGTCATGTTTATTGAAGTATGATTTTACATTCAGTAAAATTCATCCTGTTAAGGTCAACAAATGCGTAGTCACACCATTATCAAGATGCAGAACTGCAGAATCACTAACAATTCCCTCCTGCCCTTTTGTAATCAACCCCTTTTTGATCCCAAAACTCATTGACCTGTTTTTCTGTCGAAAGTATCACATTTCATCACTAAAATGATCTACAGTACTATAGAAAAATGTGTAAACACATAAAATACACAAACCAATTTTTAAAAAAGTGAGACACTTTAAAATTTCTTTAGCATACCAACAAAAAATGAAGGTAGCATTGCATTTTACTACAGATGTGCAGACATTCAAAGTCCACCACTGTCGTATATATGGCTCAACAGTAATATTTAAGAATATACTGGGTGGGCATGGTGGCCCACCCCCGTAATTCCAGCACTTTGGGAGGCTGAGGCAGGCAGATTGCCTGAGGTCAGGAGTTCGAGACCAGCTTGGCCAACATGGCCATCTCTACAAAAATTAGCCTGTAATCCCAGCTACTTGGGAGGCTGAGGTGGAAGAATTGCCTGAACCGAGGAGGCAGAGGTTGCGGTGAGCTGAGACTGCGCCACTGCACTCCAGACTGGGCAACAGCGAGACTCCACCTCAAACAAAAATGTGTAAAAATACAAAATTAGCTGGGTGTGGTGACACGCGCCTGTAATCCCAGCTACTCCGGTGGCTGAGGCAGGAGAATTGCTTGAATCTGGGAAGTGGGGGGTGCAGTAAGCCAAGATTGCACCATTGCACTCCAGCCTGGGCAACAAGAGTGAAATTGTGTTTACAATCTTTAGAGTTAAGTCATATCATTGTAGAGCATGTGAACCATGATTAAGCATGATGAAGGTATTGCTATGTTTTATTAACACTGTCAAATTACAGACCACAGCTGTTTCATAGAAAAACTACTTTAAATAATAGAATTGTCTTTGCAGGGGCCGAGGTGGGCGGATCACCTTAATCAAAGTGGGGGCAGTAAGCCAAGATTGGCACCCAATGGTACCCCAGCTTCGGGCAACAAGAGTGGAAATTGAAGTTGTTAATCTTGTATTAAGCTGGTACGCCAGAGCATGTGAATCCATGATTGCCATGATGAAGGTACAAGCGTTTTATTAACACTGTCAATCAAGGTGACCACAGCTGAGCTTCTATAGAAAAATTACTTAAATAATCAGAATTGTCTTTGCAGGGGGCCGAGGTGGGGCGGATTTGCTAAGGCTGTGAGACTGAGACCATCCTGGCTAACATGGTGAAACCTGGTCTCTACTGGTGGGTCAATGAAAAAGTAGCCAACCTGGCATGGTTGGTGGCACCTGTAGTCCCAGCTACTTTAGGAGGCTGAGGCAGGAGAATGGGTGTGAACCTCGAGGTGGAGCTTGCAAAAAAAAAAAAGAATTGAATTGCATAGAAGTTTTCTACAGGATCCATTCAGCGATAAGGCAGTTTTGTGCCTGCAAACTGTCAGATAATACTCCTATAGATTGGGGCCATCTCAAAATTCACCCTTGCTACCACTATGAAAGGGACCAAAAAAAAAAGCAACCTGTGTTCTGTAGATACTAAAGGTTACATATTCAATTATATCTCCTCTACTTGAAAAGCTTCACTGATTCTTTCAAGCGCCAGACCTGTAAAAGAAGTATCACAGTAGGTATTACTAAATAGCAAAATACAGTACTGTCTAGACTATGTTTACAAAAACTACAGGTAAATAAATAAAATCCCCCAATATCTTACACATTGTTGCTTTAGTAATGTTGTGACATCTAAATTTATGTTTTTACTCAAACTCCTGTTTTTCTCTTGGCTTAGTAGTAGTATCCATTTACCAAGAGCTTTTTCCCCTTTTTACCAAAAGTATGATTTTAAAAGGGGGGGTGGTATGATTCCATTTAATACATTCCTGCATACCAAGTTGGCCTCAGGTAAATCCTTTAATCCATCACAGCAGAAGCATATGAAATCAGATTAGAGTTCTCATCCTTGGCCAGGATTTCAATTCAACTATTAATAACTTAAACCAAATTCTTTCCACTTGGCCCATACCTTAAGTTCATTAGCATCTTGAAACTCCACCAAGCCTGGTTAAAAAAAGTGAAAGACAATGTTAAGAATATCATGCAATTTTGTTTTTTAAGGAGTGGTCTTTATCGTGGCTATCCACTAGCTACCTTTAATGAGTAAATAAATTGCTATCTCTGTATATAATTCCTGTACAAAGCTACAACCTCCAAATTTCCTGATACTTGGGAGTCTTCTGTAGTTTCCAGCTAGGAGGAAAATGGTCAGGAGTCACTATCTTCCCATTGATGAGCATTGAATGCTATCCATTTTTGAAAAGAAACACTATCCCAACAATATTTGTCTAGGAAAAACTGAAACCTTCCAGATTTAAAAATCAAAGGAAGCACTACTAAACTTGCTTACCCTGAGGCTGACTTCAGGGGGCTGAGAAGTTTCTAGTCCTGGGCACTCGCTCAGTTTTCACAATCTTTAGATGCTAGCTCACACTGCTTCCTTGACATGGTGTCTCTCACAGTTTTAACTGAATAGGTAAAAAATTGGTGGGCCGGGTGCGCTGGCTCATGCCTGTAATCCCAGGACTGTGAGAGGCCGAGACGGGCGGATCACCAGTTTAGGAGTTCGAGACCAGCCTGGCCAACATGGTGAAACCCGGTCTCTACTTAAAAAAAAAAAAGTTGGGTGTTGTAGTGGACGCCTGTAACCCCAGCCACCGAGGAGGCCAAGGTTGCAGTGAGCCGAGATTGCACCATTGCACACCAGCCTGGGTGACAGAGCGAGACTCTGACTCAAAAAAATAAAAATAAAATGGGCTCAGTAGGAATCTCAACACCTAAAGCAATTGTAAAACAAAGCCTTACCACTGCTATCTTCCTGTGCTGCCTGTAGGGCTCTTGGCTACAGCTGGAGGTATTCCAGGGAGGGAAAATTGTCCATGCTCTGGGCCTATCTGGAAAAAAGGTGCCTAGAACCTAGGCTGCAAATGCACAAGCTTTCCTCATTACAGCATGGTAAAATGGGTCCCATTTGGTTTCATCAAAAAGGCAACAAATCTTTCACAACTGAGGAAAACGCGTGAACCACGAGCTTCACATTTCAGCAGAACTGTGGTACCTATGATAGCCACAAATATTCATATGTTGACTCAAATGTAAATTTAGATCTTTATCAATTTTACTAAATTCGCAAAGTGTCCTTTTATATGGCAATTTGTATCAGTAATGAACAATTAGTATGCTCACCGATGCTCAAGAGAGCCGCTCCAAAAACTTACATTGTCCCCCAGACAAACGTTCTGTAGGGGCAGCCTTGCGTATTTCAACACCTTAGTAGACAAGTTAGGCATTCAACACCTTGTCCTGGTCCGAGTCAGAGCCCAGTAGTTCAGACTTTTCCCAGGACAGAAAACCAAGAAGGGCCTCCTCACACCCTGATTAAACGCTGGAAGCGGATCCTGTGCTGTAACAACGCTCTGGCCACTCCTGAAAAAGCGGATCTTGGGGAGGAAACCGCAGGCCCTCTTAGGGCTCACAGCATTCTACTGTAAACTCACTGCAGGCGTCGGCTCCAGCAAGACTCGTCCGTCAAAGCCTTTAAATTACCCGACTGCGGGCCAGTGGCAACTGAACGGCACTGGTGGCGGAGGGGGGTGGCTGCGCGAGTGAAGTGACCTCCGTGTGTTTGCTAACCCCGCTATTACACTGCCCCGCTTGGAAACTTAAAGCGCTTCAGACATCAGATGTCACTCACTTCCTAAATAGGCTTACGTCCGAGCGGCCACAGCCACTGGGCAGGCGGGAGCCCAGAGTGCGCCAAGAACCCAGAGACCATCCGGGGCTCGGCGCCTCCGCCTGCGGTCGTAATTTGATCCTCAAAATGCAATCATTTAATTGAAAAAGGACTAAAAGCTGCCTGTAGGCCGGATCCGTGGACTGCAGGGACTCAGGCACGCGAGGTGACCGGCGCCTGGCAGCTTCTGCTGAGTGGGGGTGGGATCCTCGAGGAAAGGGAGTGGCCCTTTCAAGCGCATAAGGACACGGGCCGTCCTAACCCGGGACGCAGGGCCCAGGCGCCATGAGGACGCCCCCACCCCGAGGGGCCCTAACGGAGGCTTCCCCGCGGCGCCGAGCCGAGGCCGAGGCGGGCAGCGAGGGGCGGGGGCGCACCTAGGAAGGGCACGGTGTAGCCCCGGAGCCACGTGGCCGGCTCCCGCGTCCAGAAGGTCGGAGCCCACTTACCCAGTCGCGCGTCGCGGCCGAAAGGGGAGAGGACTGCGGAGATCAAGTTTAAAAGGGGCCTGGGCGGGGCGGCACCAACCAAAAAGTTGCCGGAAGGTCCCTCCCGGCCTAGCACCCGCCCCGCCCGGGTCGCCCGGAGGCCCTCGCGCGCCCCCTGCCGGCGGCCCGGGGCTTCCCCGCCTTGGGTCCCCCACCCTACACAGTCCCGGCTCCCACTTTGCCCCGGCCTCCGAGTCTGAGGAATCTGCCCCAAACTGTCGCTGGCTGTGATGTCTCTTTACCTCGTTGAAGGTCAGAGGAAGCTCCTGCCACTCAAATAATGTTCGGTGTCTCTGGTACCCCCTCACCTCCCTTGCCTGGTGTTTCTTAAAGTCTTCAGCCACGCTCCTGAGTGCTTATTTCAAGACTCGTCTAATTACGTAGCAGAAGACTGGCTCCCGTTAAAAGATCTGGACATTAGCGGAGGTCGGGGGTGCAAACTCATTGAAGAGGGGTTGAAGCACGGGGAGGACTCCTGATACCTGGAGTGCTGCATGCTTAGAATGATGGCCACGGCCTGCAAATGTCTTGCCCCCGAAGCTCGTCTATGTCACTGGACTGTGAGGAGAAAGGAAAGAAGGTATTTTGACTGCAGTAAAATAAACAGTCTATTGGCTGGCTGCCTAAGCCACACTCCATACAGAACATGAGTGTTGTGGACTGAATTGTGTCCCCACTCCCAAAGACATATTGAAGACCTAACCTCCAGCACCTGTGAATGCGACCTAACGTGGGAACTGCGTCTTTAGAGATGTAGTCAAGACGAGGTCACTGGGGTAGACCCTCCTAATTCAACATGAGTGATATCCTTATCGCACAGACAGAAGCACACGAATATGTGGTGAGACAGGGGCAGATCAGAGTGATGCAGCTGTAAGCCCGGGAATGCAGTGGATTGCCAGCCACCACCAGAGAGAGGCTAGGAAGAGACGAGGAAGAACCCTCCCCTGCAGATTTCAGAGGGAGCTTGGTGTTTGCTTCTGCTGACACTTTGATTTTGGACTTCCAGCTACCAGAAATGTGAGACAAAACGTTTCTGTTGTTTCAAGTCACCGAGTGCTTTGTTAAGGCATCCCTAGGGAATTAATACAATGACTGTGGGGACTTTCCCTCTGCCGTTCTGTGTAAAATCTGGCCATAAAGACATTATTTGACTTCCTTGTTTGACTATAGGTCATAAGACCCCCATTCCAGAGGGAGTCCTGTCCCATACCCAGAAGGAAAGAGTGCATGCTCAGAGAGGCCAAGAAGAATCTAGACAGACAGGCCTTGCTGGGTTTTCTCCCTCTATTAGTCTTAGATCATACCCTTTTTGTTCAATCACATTTCTACGTCACTGCCCATACTTTGTTGAACCTAGGCATAAAAATGGACAATTTCCCCTGTGTCTTTGGGTCTTCATTTGAAGGCTCCCGGGTATGCACATTAAATACATTTATATGCTTTTTCTCCAATTAATCTGCCTTTTGCAAGTTGATTTTTAAGTGAACCTTAAGAGGGCAAAGGGAAAACTTTCCATGTTGGCTCCTACAGATTGCTCAGTGCAGCAAATACTTGTTGAGTGCCTATTCTATGCCAGGTACTGTGATTGGTGTTGGAAGGTGTGAAGTTCAATGAGAAATTTCCCCTGCCCTAGATCAAGGAATATAAAACGAGATTCACCCACCGATAGAAGCCCATGAAGAGTGCCAAGGGCACAGCATAAAGCCACAAAGCCCAGCCTGCTAAGGCCACAGGAAAGGCTTCCAGAAGGAAGAGGTACCTAATAGTACAATGAGTGTAGCATGACCAGCAGGAAACTCATATACTGCATGAAATTTAGGAGAGCAAAGAAGCCAAGAGGCCAAGAAAGTTGCAGAAAAATCACAGGATAATAGAGTGCAGGGGACTTTAATAGATCATCTAGGACTTTTCTCTGGTGGGTGGAGCTGGTCTTAGGGTGTTGTCATGCAGAGTTGTCATGATGATGCAATGTAGGCTCCATGACAACTCTGTTTCCTTCTCTACTGAATCCCCCGAATTCAGTGTAAATGCTTAGAATATATTTAGATAAGGGGGAAAAAACTCCTTATCTAAATATCTTTATCAGAGAAAGAGATTATTCTCCCAAAGTAGTTCAATATTCATACCATAAAACTCTTCAAGGCTGATAATGGGACAGTAGTGGGGTTTTATCCCAAGCTGTAGCTTCCTTGGGTCACCTTGAGTTCGTGGATTTATTCCTGTATTCCCAGTAGCTGGCCTAGGGCTTTGCACATTTTAAATGCTTGATAAAACCTACTGAATTTCCTTTTTTTTGCTGTCCATTTGACTTGTCTTTCACATATGTGGTGAACTACAGACATCCCTGACTTACAGTGGTTTGATTTATGGTTTTTTGTTTTTTTTTTACTTTGTGATGGTGCAAAAGCAATATGTAGCTCAGTAGAAAGTGTGCTTCAAGTATCCATACAACCATTCTGTTTTTCACTTTCAGTACAGTGTTCAATAAATTACATGAGATATTCAAAACTTTATGCTAAAATAGGATTTGTGTTCAATTGTTTTGTCTAACAGCAGTGTAATGTAGGTGTCCTGAGCACTTGTGAAGTAGACTAGGCTAATGGGATAATAGTAGACTGAGATGTTCGGTAGGTAGGTGTATTAAATGCACTTTGAACTTACCGTATTTTAAACTCACAGTGGGGTTATCAGAATGTAAGTCCATTATAAGCTGAGGAGCATCTGTGCTTGGAGAGTAGGAATCCCAGGGCATTGGGAGGCGTTGTGCACTTCCCTGGCTTGTTTTGCTGCTGTTGGTGGGGAGCCTTTTCCCCCAGTCCCATGCTTTTCTGTAGAGGAGCTTCTCCCAATGGCCTGGGCCTTTTACTTATTCTTTCCTCATTCCTTTCCAGAGAAGGAAGGAATTTCAGTACAATTCTGTGCTAATGTGAATGCTGAAATCATGCAAACTGTCCTGTTGGCTTCCATCCTCTGCCTGTCCCCTGTTTTCAGTGTGAACAGGTGCAGACTATTATTTTCTCTGATGGGACTAGGGGAAATGGGTGGGGTGAACTGTGACCTGCCATTTTTGTGCTTTTTCGATGGTCAAAGTGGAATTAAAAATTGTGTCTCTCCCAGCACTTTGGGAGGGCGAGGCGGGTGGATCACCTGAGGTTGGGAGTTTGAGATCAGCCTGACCAACATGGAGAAACCCCATCTCTACTAAAAATACAAAATTAGCTGGGTGTGGTGACCTATGCCTGTAATCCCAGCTACTCGGGAGGCTGAGGCAGGATAATCACTTGAACCCGGGAAGCGGAGGTTGTGGTGAGCTGAGATCGCGCCATTGCACTCCAGCCTGGGCTACAAAAGTGAAACTCCGTCTCAAAAAAAAAAAAAAAAGTCTCTCTCATTAACCCTGCAATAACATAATCCTGGAAGCCACTGAGGGTTTTCTCAGCTCAGTGTACAGTCAGTCAATTGGGGACATTATAAGTGTCACTGACTTAACTTTTGTGCTGTTCTTTTTTTCTTGAGATAGGGTCTTGCTCTGTTGCCCAGGCTGGAGTGCAATGGCACAATCATAACTCACTGCAGCCTTGACCTCCTGGGCTCAAGCAATCCTCCTGCCTAAGCCTTCTAAGTAGCTGGGACTACAGGTGGCGTGACACCATGCCTGGCTGATTTTGTTTATTTTTTGTTTTTTGTAGAGACGGGGTCTCACTATGTTGCCCAAGCTAGTCTTGACTCCTGGGTTCAAGCAATCTTCCTGCCTTGGTACCCCAAAACACTGAGATTACATGTGTGAGCCAACATGGCCTTCTACTTTTGTGCTTTTTGATGGTCAAAACAGTATTAAAAATAGTGTCTCTCGGTTAGGCACAGTGGCTTACGTCTGTAATCTTAGCACTTTGGGAGATCGAGGTAGGTGGATCACATGAGGGGAAGAGTTCAAAACCAGGCTGGCCAACATAGTGAAACCTCATCTCTACTATAAGTACAAAAAAATTAGCCAGGCATGGTGGCGGGTGCCTGTAATTCCAGCTACTTGAGAGGCTGAGGCAGGAGAATCACTTGAACCCAGGAGGTGGATGGTGCAGTGAACCAAGATCGTGCCACTGCACAGCCTGGGTGACAGAGTGAGACTCTGTCTCAAGAAAAGAAAAAAAAAAAAAAGTCTCTCATTAACCCTGCAATAACATAATCCTGCATTTTACCCAGTTTAAATTTTTGGCCGTCACTTTTGTTGGCAGGTGACATCCACTGGCTCATCTTTCTTAAAAAAGAAACACATCTATTTGAAGGCTGCAGCTATGATGATTCACTCCCCTTTTCTTCCCTCACTGCCCAAAACCAGCATAAGGCAATGATGGCCCAAGGTCTAGACTGGGATGGGGAGTAGCGTGTCTCAGCTCTGAAGACACAATCTGAACAGTAATAAAGCTAGCACCTTAATTTCCATTCCATGTCTTATGTCTGGGTTGGTTCTGAATGTGAAAGGAAGGGAAAGTACATTATTTTTCACCCTCCCCATATCCTACAGTTGCCTGATCCTCATCCCCAGGAAGATCTAAGACTCACATATTATCGATAGACTTAACTTCAGACATTTGCTTTCATGAACGAATTGGCCTATTCATTTACTCTTGTGTCTGTGTGTAGTGCAGATTTTAGTGTGTTGTTGCAGTGTAGAGTCAGAATATGAAGCAACTACAGACATTATTTATGATTTAAATGATCACTCCAGTTGGGTAACATTTTAACTGGGGTCATTGGGCTGTTTGCCATGAGCAGGTCTCTGCCCAACAGCTTGCCTTTTCCAAGCAGCTGTAGGCTTGTTTTCAAGCCAAGAGAGAATGTCTGCCCTTGCCGAAGCATATTGGTTTCATCTGCTTCAATAAACCCATGTGGCTGATTTCAGCAATTAGAAGGTACACATGTGAGTATCCTGGAAGCCTTGGGATATGAGTGCT